AAGAAGATCTCACGGCTGCTCAACATCGAAATGGATGTTGACGAACATATTTTGAACCTGTCATCCTACAACCTCTCCTTTTTTCAGAAACTGGTCCTTTGCCGAGGATTAAAATTTGCCATTCCTCAACGTGTGTCTCCCATGGACGTTAAAGCAAGCTTTGAAAAGGCCTATTGGAGCCTTGAACCCCACCTCAATGATGATAATTTAAAGGAATTATCTGCAGCAACGTTACGTTTCGTTGCACTCAATTACATCGAACGCAAGAGTCCGAAACCTCCAAAGACATTGTTGAGAGCTATAGAGGAGTTAAAAGGACGCGACGACATAGTTATCACGAAACCCGACAAAGGGTCTGGTGTTGTGGTTCTAGACAAAACCGAATACTTGCGATTACTTTCTGAAGCCTCAGTCAATGATACAAGCAAGTTCCGTGCCGTTCCCCTGGAGAAACCCAAGACCAGGGGCAGACCATCCAAATATTACCACCCCCTACTACAAAAAGAGAAGATCCTAGATTCCATTGTTCGTAGAATTCTACCGAAGACCATTGCAGATTCCGTGAGCCCTACAGGTTCCAGATTGGCACATTTATATGGGTTGCCAAAAACCCACAAAGAACCATTGGCTATGAGGCCTATATTATCAGCCACCGACACGTACAACTTTCCCCTTGCTAAATGGCTCGACGAGAAATTGAAGCCCTTGTCCCTTAATCAGTATACAGTTACTGATAATTTTGATTTCACAAAAGAGATTCACGAGCTGAAGATCAACAAGGGTGAAATCTTGGTTTCGTATGATGTCTCCTCGTTATTCACAAACGTGCCTTTGGACGAAACAATAGAGATCTTGGTTAACAGAGCCTTTTCGAACAATTGGTTCAATACTACCCACAATCTTGCCCTTACCAGAACAGATCTTATTGACCTCCTAAACGTAGCCACCAAAGGCCAACTATTTCAATTTAACGGAGCTCTATACGAACAGACAGATGGCGTTGCTATGGGGTCCCCTCTCGGGCCCTTATTAGCAAACGTCTTCATGTCATCCATCGAAGATACCCTTGAGCGACAAAGAAAACTCCCATCCTATTATCGTCGATATGTTGATGATACACTCACTGTAATGCCTGATCTAGCAACAGCAACTACCTTCTTGCATACCCTCAACAGCGCCCACACTTCGGTCAAATTCACCATGGAGGTGGAGAAGAACAGCAAGCTTCCTTTCCTTGGCACCGAACTACTCAACCATGCACCTCGGATTGAAACCAAGGTATATGTGAAACCAACAAACACGGGCCTACTATTACACTACCAAAGCCATGTAGACAATCGCTACAAACGGAGCTTGCTGAAAACTATGCTGGATCGCGCACACCGATTATCTTCCTCCTGGGCCCATTTCTCTGATGAGTGTGATCGCCTAAAGAAAGTTTTCGCACGGCTTAAATACCCGGAACGCCTGGTAAATTCTACCATTAACACCTTCTTACAATCAAGAATTGTTGGTACGCAGCCCACACAGACGCCCAAAGAACCAATATCCATTGTTCGTGTGGTCATACCTTTCAAAGATCAGGAATCAGCAAATTATGTTAAGAAAGAGCTCAAGAATCTTAGCATGAAGGTGCAGACAACTGTCCAGCCAGTATTTGTTAGCCGCAAAGTTGGCCAAGATCTTAAAGTACGAGAAATCAAGCCACAGATTGTCAACCAACAACGCGTCGTTTATCAATTTCAATGTGACCTGTGTGATGCGGGTTATGTGGGCTATACACGCGGACACTTACACACACGCGTGGATGGACATAAACGAAAGGCATCTTCAATATATAAACACTACCACGAACGGCACAGCGAAGTCCCGAAAGACCTACTGAAACGTTTTAGCATTCTGAAAAAGTGTAGTAACAAGTTCGATTGTTTGGTGAACGAAATGCTTTTCATCAGAGACTTAAAACCCACTCTGAACGTGCAAAGCGATTCAATTCGTGCAAAAGTATTTGTTTAATTAGCTCGTAACATATTTATGCTAATTTAGTGTTACACCTTGCCACAAACTTCACTTTTTATTTCTCCTTGAAAATGGCGTCATGATGACACCGAAACGTCGGTTTTTATCGTTAGTTTTTGCTAGTCTTTTATTTTTTTTCAGCATAAAAAATCCTTAATATATTGTAAAACACAGCAGGCTTATTATTTGTAATAAACACCGCGGCTGGTCAGGATTTGCTAATCAATACATTACTGCTGTATTGACGCTGCATTTATGGGGAGGCAGTGTGTTAGAACGAAACTTGGTAAGTGGATCCTCATTTCACAATATTCTTATATAGCTTTTAATTGGTCCTCTCTAGACTATCAAGTTATAATAATTTTTTTTAATAAAACAAATTTGCCTTATAATATATTTCGAAATTGTTAAATCTAGACAGTTTGCAATATTTCCATTTGAAAAAGGCAATGTTAAGGAAGACTAATGTTCTTGTAGAACCTTACGAAAAAGCAAGCACGACCTAAAGGTGAACATTAAGTAACAACAAACAATTTATCCCAAACTTATAAGCAGTATTCTTTCAAATTTTCCCTATTTTGAGATACATGTGTGAGACGATTTAGTTGAGATACACTGCATTGCTGGGTCTGTTTCAAGCGTGAATGTTAGGCGGATGTTTTGATAGTCAGACTGTCTCCGTCTGGCTTTAATTTTCTGGCACAATTGGTTCTTACTTACAGTTTGTACAGCCCGTCCAACCCACTGAACACTCCTGAGGTTAAGTTCTTTAATTGATTATTGGACAAGTACCTACGACGAACATATCATCAAACAAAATGTTAGGTTTGAGCTGTAAGATAATCTTTCGAATAATAACATATTACCAGCTATGATAAAAATGCCTTGGCTTCTCGTTTTTAAAGCTTGATTGGCTCAACGCAAAAAGATATTCCTCGATCAGATCCGAAAAGAGGTTAAGTTCGTGAATGTCTTATAGAATTCTCTCTGCAACTTGAACGCAAAGATATCATATTGAAGAGCTATCACTTGATTGGACATCACAAGACCTCTATCAATTCTCCTGACGCACGAGACCGCAAAAGAAAATCACAGTTTTTCCTGTATACAAATCTTTCTCTATCCCCAGAGAGATATAGTAGGAGAAGCTGCTAATGGTGTTAGTGCAGTAAACCGTTCGTAACACGACTCAAAAAGTCATAAATGTAAGCTGTCACGTCTGTATGGGCTAGATTAAAGGTCATTAGTTCATTGCACCATAGAGTGATCCAATGATCTATATACTCTGTACACCAGTCTAATTGATGGAAGTTGCTAGAAATTGCCACAACTAATTAACTTTTTCAGTTTGATGGTCAGTTGTATGAGCAAACGGATGGAGTTGCTATGGGCTCCCCCGTTGGTCCCCTAATGACGAACGTCTTCATGCGCCACCTTGAAGAGAAACTCACACGCGATGGCTTGATGCCTCATTTGTACAGCAGATACGTTGATGATACTCTTGCAAGATTGTCAAATACTGATGCTGCCACTAAGTTTCTTACTACCCTGAATGGCCTACATCCCAGTTTACTGTTCACGATGGAGCTTCCTGTTCATGATAGGATTCCTTTCATCGGCATTGATATCATCAAGAATGGAACAAAACTGGAAACTCAAGTCTATAGAAAGCCAACTAATATTGGCTTGCTTTTACATTTCCACAGTCATACTGACAAACGCTATAAAGACTCTTTATTAAAGACAATGTTACAAGCG